GGCCAACATTTTCTAATGTTACACCATTAAGCTGTATCTTTGGTATTGGGGAGGGATTGAGAGCAGCAGTTTTCTCGATGTTCAATAACAGGGCGAACTTCTCGTATGCTTCTTCAAAGGTGTTTAGAGTGGCTTGAAAATGAACAAAATCTGGCTACCAGGATTTTAAAAAATCCAAAATCAGGACAGTAAATAAAGAGCAATACTCAAAAAACAGGGAAATTCCAGACAGGAAACAATAAGGGTCTCCCAACAAAGGATTCCCCCTGGCAGGAAGCAACCAGCCAGTCTTTGAACTACAAGGCCAGTCAATGCGAACCAAGGAGGCCACCTGCAACATTCACACTTGCCTCAAGCAGACAAGAGTTCTTTCTCCCACCCTGGACATTATTCCACAGCTATATAAACCTCACTTGCCTAGTTTCCAACAAACCTCACAACCTCTGAGGATGCCTGTCATAGATGTGGGTGAAATGTCAGGAGAGAATGCTTCTGGAACATGGCCAGACAGCCCAGAAAATTCACAGCAACCCAGTCTCCTGTTTGAGTGTATTTTCACATCCCTGCTGGGCTGAGCAGGGAGCCACGGTAAGAACAGGCACACTGACTCAGGTCTGATCTGCTGCTCGCTGTGGGGATGCTTGTCTGTGTCCCTGCACCACCCCATCCTCCCCGAGGTGAACGGAATCACTCACTGCTCAGAAGTTAGAAGGGCGAGGAAACAGAATATAGCAGCAAACATCATGTGGTTTGGCTTCAGCTGCTTGGTGGGGAGATCAAGGAGCAAAGCTTACAAATGCCGAAACCAGGGACTGAGAGAGTGCGTTTGAGACTGAAACAAAGGCTGGGGTTAGGGTTAGGGTGATTGTAGGTGAACTATAAATCCTAGCAACTACAACTCCTAAATGTCAAGATCTGGTTTCCCCAAACTCCACCAGTTGTTCACATTTGGGCATATTGAGTATTTGTGCCAAGATTGGGCCAGATCCATCATTATTTGAGTCCACTGTGCTTTCTGGATATAGGTAAACTACAACTCCAAAACTCAAGGTCAGCGCCCACCAAATCCTGTTGGTTCTGTGTGCCAAGTTTGGTTCAATTCCATCATTGGTGGAGTTCAGAATGCTCTTTGATTTTTTTGGGGGGGGGGGGTTGTCATGTCAGAAGTTGCTTCTGGTGTGAGAGAATTGGCTGTCTGCAAAAACGTTGCCCAGGGGACGCCCGGATGATTTTGATGTTTTTATCATCCTTGTGGGAGGCTTCTCTCATGTCCCCCGCATTAGGAGCTTTGATTTTAGGTGAAGTATAAACCCCAGCAACTACATCTCCCAAATGACAAAATCAATCCTTCCAACCCCTCCTAGTATTCAAATTTGGGCATACTGGGTATTTGTGCCAAATTTGGTCCAGTGAATGAAAATACATCCTGCATATCAGATATCTACATTACGATTCACAACAGTAGCAGGGCCATAACAGGGCCAGAGAAGTAGATGGTGGAAACAGAAGAACGGCCTGCCTCAGGGAAGCGTGCTTGCTCCATCCGTGTTCAACATCTACACAAATGACCAGCCACCTCCAGAAGGGGCAGAGAGTTTTATCTATGCTGATGATTGTGCCATTACCGCTCAAGCAGGGAGCTTTGAGATGGTTGAACAGAAGCTCTCCAAAGCTCTAGGTGCTCTTACTGCCTATTACAGGGAAAACCAGCTGATCTCTAATCCATCTAAAACACAGACATGTGCTTTTCACCTTAAGAACAGACAAGCATCCCGAGCTCTGAGGATCACCTGGGAAGGAATCCCACTGGAGCATTGCAGCACACCCAGATACCTGGGAGTCACTCTGGACCGTGCTCTTACCTACAAGAAGCACTGCCTGAACATCAAGCAAAAAGTGGGTGCTAGAAACAATATCATACGAAAGCTGACTGGCACAACCTGGGGATCACAACCAGACACAGTGAAGACATCTGCCCTTGCGCTGTGCTACTCTGCTGCTGAGTACGCATGCCCAGTGTGGAACACATCTCACCACACTAAAACAGTGGATTTGGCTCTTAATGAGACATGCCGCATTATCACGGGGTGTCTGCGCCCTACACCACTGGAGAAATTACACTGTTTAGCCGGTATTGCACCACCTGACATCCGCCAGGAAGTAGCAGCCAATAGTGAAAGGACCAAGGCAGAGACATCTCCAGCTCATCCCTTGTTTGGGTATCAGCCAGCACGTCAACCACTTAAATCTAGAAATAGTTTTCTAAGATCTACAGAGACACTCGCTGGAACACCTCAGCAAGTGAGAGTCCAAAAGTGGCAGGCTCAAATCCAGAACCTCAACCAATGGCTGATACCAAATGAGAGACTCCCTCCTGGGCACACAGAAGACTGGGCGACTTGGAAGGCACTGAACAGACTGCGCTCTGGCACCACGAGATGCAGAGCCAACCTTCAGAAATGGGGCTACAAAGTGGAATCCACGACATGCGAGTGTGGAGAAGAGCAAACCACTGACCACCTGCTGCAATGCAACTTGAGCCCTGCCACATGCACAATGGAGGACCTTCTTGCAGCAACACCAGAGGCACTCCAAGTGGCCAGATACTGGTCAAAGGACATTTAATCAACTACCAAACTCACAAATTTTGTATTTTGTCTGTTTGTTTGCTTTATTCTGTTAGAAATGTAATATAATTGACTGGTTGCCCTGACACGACAAATAAAATAAATTTATTTATCTCTGAGCCTGCTGAACTCTGTGGGATTGCTGCACATGGAACCAGTTATAGCCCAATGTTGCCCACCACAGCAATGCTGCTGAGTTCTGGGATCCCCAATTAGGGGTTGCAATCAAGAAACACAGCCAGCTAGAAATGCACAGCCGGGGGGGACCTTCAAGCACTTGGGGAGCTGGGAGGAACTGGTTCCAGGGGGTCCTTCCCAGCAGGGGCTTCATTATGTTGGTCCTGAGGGGAGACCTTGGCCGATCCTCTCTCTCGGCAACAGCAGACAGCCAGCACAGAAAGCAAGCTGCCGTCGGTCCTGGCAAGTGCCAAACCATTTAGAGCTAATTAGAGTCAGGCTGTGAGCTTTCCTTCCCGAAAGCCCCACTGGCAAGCCTGTCCCTTGAGCACCTGGCACAACGTGCGGCTCGGATTAAAGCCGGCAGGGTCCAGGTGGCCTCCAGATCCCATGAGTGTCGGGACCGGATGGCTGCCATTGGTCACAGGGAGCTCTTGGCGGCAGAGTGCGCCTCTGCCCGCCAAGCCAAAGCGGGGAAACACGGCGGGGCTTGCCAAGGCCACTGGCGGCTTCCTTGTAGCTGACATGAGCTCAGCCTCGCCTGGATCGAGTCGCAGGCTCACGGCCAGAGAAGCCCACGGTCTGTGGATGCAGACGCTGGGCCGGTTGGTGTTCCAGGCTTGCGTTTAACGAGGCTGCGAGCTTTAGAAGAGACACAATTACTCAGCATACGGCTCCTTCCTTGCAGGCACAGGATTCCTACCTCTCCACAACCCCACTTACCATCCCTTTTATTTCTACCATTCATTACACAGCTGGCAAAGAGGGGCCATACTGGCACAAACTAATAAACCATTCCTGCTCTTCTGCAATTCTCAAGATCTAGATAAATAAAAATGTAATGTTCGTTTGTGGGATTAACAGAACTCAAAAACCACTGGGCGAATTGACACCAAATTTGGACACAAGACACCTAAGAACCCAATGCATGTCCTTCACTCAAAAAAATTGATTTTGTCATTTGGGAGTTGTAGTTGCTGGGATTTATAGTTCACCTACAATCAAAGAACATTCTGAACTCCACCAATGATGGAATTGAACCCATCTTGGGACACAGAACTCCCATGCTCAACAGAAAACACTTCAAGAGTTTGGTGGGCATTGATGTTGAGTTTGGTTGGGGGTTGTAGTTCACCTACGTCCAGATATCACTGTGGACTCAAACAATGATGGATCTGGACCAAGCTCTACATGAATACTCAATATGCCCAAATGTGAACACTGGTGGAGTTTGGGGAAAATAGAATCTTGACATTGGGAGTTGTAGTTGCTGGGATTTATAGTTCACCTACAATCAAAGAGCATTCTGAACCCCACCAACGATGGAATTGAACCAAACATGGCACACAGTTCTACCATGACCAACAGAAAATACTGGAAGGGTTTGGTGGGCAGTGTCCTTTGGTTTTGGAGTTGTAGTTCACCTACATCCAGAGATCACTGTGGACTCAAACAATGATGGATCTGGACCAAACTCTACACGAATACTCAATATGCCCAAATGTGAACACTGGTGGAGTTTGGGAAAATAGAATCTTGACATTTGGGAGTTGTAGTTGCTGGGATTTATAGTTCACCTACAATCACAGAGCATTCTGAACCCCACCCATGATAGAATTGGGCCAAACCTTCCACACAGAACCCCCATGTGGGCCACAGCAATGCGTGGCAGGGGACGGCTAGTGTAATATAAATATATAATTATAATGTCATATTATTATTAGTAGTAGTATTATATTGCATTACATATTAACCTCAATTGCCTAGTATGTGACAGACCCCTCAACCTTGCCTGCCATAGACGTGGGTGAAACATCAGGAGAGAATACTTCTGAAACATGGTCATACAGCCCAGAAAACTCACAGCAACCTAGTGTTGTTTCTGACCTTAAGTAAGCTTTTCCCCCATTTGTGTGTTTTTCTAAAGCTATTTTTGAAGGAGAGAATACTTCTGAAACATGGTCATACAGCCCGGAAAACTCACAGCAACCTAGTGTTGTTTCTGACCTTGAGCAAGCTTTTTGCCCAGAAAGGAGACCTAAAGCTATTTTAGAAACACACATAAATAAAGTATCCTTATCAGTATCACCAAGTCCACTTTATAGCTCCAAACACTGAGGTGCTTTTAGAAAGACAACAGGTGTATTTTGAAATCCACTTTCTCCCCCTCAACCAATTCCTTGTCATAGTACTCACCTCATAAACTGGCTGAAAGCTTTGTAGTTTGTCAGGGTGTGATAGTCCTCTTCTGTGAAGACATGATCGACATCCTCCAGTCCCCAGGTCATGAGCAGCTGAGCAGAGGACTTCTGCTCCACCTTGAAAGGAACACAGAATGGTCAGAATACCTGAGGATGTTTGGAGGAAAGAATCTCCATTTGATACTACTACTATCACGGAACATGGGGTGAGAAGAAACACAAGGTTAGAAACGCACCTGGGACTCTCAGGTGGACATGCATATCACTACACCAGTGTGCCGTGAAGGGAGGTCAAGCATGCCCTGACAAATTCAGCATGACCGCTATATGCGTCTGTAGCTGTTGGAGCATTAATCCCTTCACATTCGGGCAATTGAATCCTGCTGGGACAGTCCCAAGGGATTGGAGGCAGGGGAGAGAACCAAGCGGGGTTCGGGGATGTATTCTGTTACACCTGATTTGCTCCTATTATGTGCCTTCAAGCTGACTCTGACTTCTGGTGAATCTGTCTGGAGTTTTTCAATGTATTGTCAAAGGCTTTCATGGCTGGAATCACTGGGTTGTTGTAGGTTTTTTGGGCTATATGGCCATGTTCTAGAAGCATTCTCTCTTGACGTTTCGCCTGCAACTATGGCAGGCATCTTCAGAGCAACTTCTGAGGATGCTTGCCATAGATAAAGGCGAAACGTCAGGAGAGAATGCTTCTAGAACATGGCCATATAGCCCAAAAAACCTACAAAAACCCCCCTGTCAGGAGTTTTCTTGCTAAGGTTTATCCCAAGGTTTGCCACTACTATGCTCCGAAGCTGAGAGAGTATGACTTGCCCAAGGTCATTCAGTGGTTTTCCAACCCTGGTCTCTGAAAGAACTTGAAAGCACACAACAACAACAACAACAACAACAACAACAACAACAACAACAACAGCAGCAGCAGCAGCAGCAGCAGCAACAATCCTATCTCATCTGCCAAAAGCAGGCCCACATTTCCCATTGAAATACTAATAAGTTTATATTTGTAAAAATTGTACTTCATTTTAATTATTGTATTGTTTTTAAGTGTTTTTGCATTACAAATAAGATATGTGCAGTGTGCATAGGAATTCATTCATGTTTTTTTCAAATTATAATCCGGCCCTCCAGCAGTTTGAGGGACTGTGACCTGGCCCTCTGTTTAAAAAGTTTGTGGATCCCTGACCTACTACAATGCAGCCTGAGCCTTGCCACATGCTCAATGGAGGACCTTCTCATAGCAACGCTCGTCATCATTGGTAAAGAGTCTGGGAGTCCTTTTGGACCCTCTGCTGACGATGGAGGCCCAGGTCTCCGCCGTGAGCAGAACCGCCTTTTTTCACCTGCGGCAGGCTAGACGGCTGGCCCCCTCCCTGTCCAGGGACAACCTAGCTACGGTGATCCAGGCCACGGTCATCTCAAGACTGGACTACTGTAACGCCCTCTACATTGGCCTTCCTCTGTCGGTGATCCGAAAGCTCAAGTTGGTACAAAAAGCAGCTGCTCGGCTTCTTGCGAGAGCTCCAATGAGATGCCACATAACACCAATCTTACGGCAGCTGCATTGGTTACCAATAGAGCACCGATCACTTTCAAAGTGGTGGTACTTACCTTTAAGACCTTATATGGTCTGGGGCCGATGTACCTGAGGGACTGCCTCACCCCCTACCATCCCCAGAGATCCCTTCGTTCTGAGGACCAAAATTTATTGGAAGTTCCCAGTTTTAAGACCTTGCGTCTAACAGCAACCAGAGCGCAGAGCCTTCACAGCAGTGGCACCATCACTCTGGAATACTCTGCCACCTGAAGTCCGTGCCTTGCGGACTTACCAGCTTTCCGCAGGGCATGTAAGACATATTTGTTTCGACAAGCTTTTGATCTTTGATATTGCTGTTTTTTTAAATTGTTTTAGATTTTAGTCTGTTCTTGTAAGCCGCTCTGAGCCCTAGGGGAGTGGCGGCATATAAGTTTGAATAATAAATAAATAAATAAACAAACAAACAAACATCAGAGGCACTCCAAGTGGCCAGCTAACGGTCAAATATGTTTAATATAATGCCAAGATTTTTAAACTGTGTGTTTGTTAAATACATTACAACTGTACCCTTGATTCGCTTCTGATACAATAAATAAATAAATAAATGAGTCACCCATCAAGTGCGAGGCACTAACTCTAGCCCACTCTCCCTAAGTTCCAAGGGCCTTCCTACCTTTGGCTTTTGCACTCCGTCTTCTTCCGACTTTTTCCGCCGCTTGGTCTTTTTCTCCTTCTTCTCCCGGTGCTTCCTTCGCTTCTTCTTCCCCACTCCTCCATAATCGCTGCCGCCACTCTCCGACTTGGCCCGATACTCCTCTCGGTCTGATTCAAACTCATCTTCACTGAGCTGCCAAGAAAAAGATGGATATCAAGAGGACACGGCCAAGTGAGAACATTAGGACTGATTAAAGGCAGGCCTTTTTGCCGGGCAAAGAGAAGCCGCCGTGCCAGAGCCAGGGTATCTCTTTCCGCAGGGTGTAAGAAAGCAGCTTTGCTAAGTTAAGCATGGGGTCTGTGAAAGGAATAAGCTTTGCAAAGCTGACTGAGCAGAACACATAAACAGGAAGCTTCCAGCTACAAAGCAGGAGCCTCTAGGGAAGTGGAGGTCACAAGTGTAGGGAAGTCCTAGGAATCTGTGACCGGTGCAAAATAAAAACTGGTGGCATGCACAAATAAGCAAACCACTTTCACATTTCAAAACAAACGTGAGGGAAGGGGCTTTGCTAAGTTAACTGTCTATAGCAGTGCTTCCCAACCTGTGGTCTGTGGACCACCACTGGTCTGCAAGAACAAAAATATGGTTTGTGGCCTCATCATGACTACACCACTGCTTCAAAACCACATGGCAACGAGAGTGACTGGTCTCGCGAAATGCTCTTGTAGTGTCGAGGCAACAGGGATGTCGGAAGGGAAGAGGCTGGTTACCCATGAAAGATTACTACTACCACATCAGCTCCCCAGGCCCGTAGCCAGGATTTTGATTTGGGGGGGGGGGATGCATATGGGATATATTGAGCATGGTGATCAGGTCATGATGTGAATAAACATAACAGTTTAAATAATGTACCAGTAAGGCCTTCTCGCGGACCACCCTGTGAATTTGGGGGGGAGCCCCTCAAGCCCCCCCCCCTCCAGCTACATGCCTGGCTCCAGCTACATGCCTAACTTTCAATTACAAAGCAGGAGCACTAAGGGTGGTGTAGGTCACTGACACAGAAGTACTAGCATATCTCTGATTGGTGCAAGAAAAAAAAAACTAGTGACACACCGACAAGCGACCCATTTTTAAAACAAAAGGGGGAAACCCAAGAATCTGTACTATAGCTCTGTTTTCCACTAATGCCTGAAACAAGAATAGGCTCTCTCTTCTGCAATGATATCAAGATCAGTATACCCAGGAACCAACCAGCTAGTGACAAGAGAGTGGGATGGACTTATGGCATGGTGCTAAACTGTGCTATTTGTCCTGGCTCTGCGGGGCCTGAATGGAGCCTCATCAAATTAATTCCAGTAACATAATTTTAATCTGTGATTCCGGCTTCATGGCCAGAATCACTGGGTTGCTGTGAGTTTTCTGAGCCATACGTCCATGTTCCAGAAGCATTCTCTCCTGAAGTTTCACCCACATCTATGGCTAGCATCCTCATCCCAACCTCTGAGGATGCCTGCCATAGATGTGGGTGAAATGTCAGGAGAGAATGCTTCTGGAACATGGCCATACAGTCCAGAAAACTCTCAGCAACCCATAATTTTCATCACTACCTTGATGGTGCCACAATTTTCAACTGCCCATTTCCTCCAAGCAGTAACAAAGCATGAGCATATATACAGAGATGCATGCACACACAGGGGAGACAGGGAGAAGGCTCTGCTCGCACAACTTACTAATTTTTTGCGCTTCCTGGGCTTCCCTGGTTTGTTTTCTTTCTGCTTTTTGGGCCCTCGTTTCTTCTTCTTGATGACGAGGGGGCTCTCTATGTTGCGCAACTCCTCCTCCTCTTCGTCTGAAATAAAGGGGCACAGAGAAAAAGAACCCCAAGAGAGAGAGAAAGGATTCACATCATCTGCTTTGCCATTCCAAGCTCACGCACACAAGTTGAAGCAATGATCCTCTTTCCTTTGCATCTCCAATCCTCACATTGTACTCTCTGCCAGTGAGTCTTGCCACTGAGCTGAAAAGGGCCAAGCTATCGGAAGCTTTGGCCAGTCTTACCTAGGCAGGCTCAATCCTTTTCTTTCAAAACAACACACATACAAACACACTTACTACTGGTTTGTTTTATTCCCCCTCAGCCAGAAGAGCAGCCATCTGTTCCTACACTCCCCAGACAGTTGTAGGGCACCGATTACAATCCTCCAAGGAACTTGCACAAAGACTGTGGCTCGCTTTGCTTCAAAGACCACTTGAAACCATGAAGAGCAGCAGGAGGAGGGGGTGGACTTTTAGCACGGGAAGTGGGAAGCTCAGATGTGACACAGCAGCTACAAAAGCTGGAGCATGAATAGTGATACAATTATATTACAATTGAATAGATATAAACCCTCCTTGAGATCATCCGGACTTTTGGAGTTCAATGCCATCTGTACGTAGATGATGTCCAACTCTATCACTCATTTCCACCCGATGCTAAGGAGGCTGTCCAAGTCCTGAACCGGTGCCTGGCCTCTGTGATGGTCTGGATGAGGGCAAGCAAATTGAAGTTGAATCCAGACAAGGCAGAGGTCCTCCTCAGTGAAGACATCTGCCCTTGCGTTGTGCTACTCTGCTGCTGAGTATGCATGCCCAGTGTGGAACACATCTCACCACGCTAAAACAGTGGATGTGGCTCTAAATGAGACATGCCGCATTATCACAGGGTGTCTGCGCCCTACACCACTGGAGAAATTACACTGCTTAGCCGGTATTGCACCACCTGACATCCGCCGGGAAGTAGCAGCCAATAGTGAAAGGACCAAGGCAGAGACATCTCCAGCTCATCCCTGTTTGGGTATCAGCCAGCACGTCAACAACTTAAATCAAGAAATAGTTTTCTAAGATCTACAGAGACACTCGCTGGAACACCTCAACAAGCGAGAGTCCAAAAGTGGCAGGCTCAAACCCAGAACCTCAACCAATGGCTGATACCAAATGAGAGACTCCCTCCTGGGCACACAGAAGACTGGGCGACTTGGAAGGCACTGAACAGACTGCGCTCTGGCACCACAAGATGCAGAGCCAACCTTCAGAAATGGGGCTACAAAGTGGAATCCACAACATGCGAGTGTGGAGAAGAGCAAACCACTGACCACCTGCTGCAATGCAACCTGAGCCCTGCCACATGCACAATGGAGGACCTCCTTGCGGCAACACCAGAGGCACTCCAAGTGGCCAGATACTGGTCAAAGGACATTTAATCAACTACCAATCTTGCAAACTTTGTGTTTTGTCTGTTTGTTTGTTTTGTTCTGTTAGAAATGTAATACAATGGTCTGGTTGCTGATAACCAAATATAGAATCATAGAATCAAAGAATCAAAGAGTTGGAAGAGACCTCATGGGCCATCCAGTCCAACCCCCTGCCAAGAAGCAGGAATATTGCATTCAAATCACCCCTGACAGATGGCCATCCAGCCTCTGTTTAAAAGCTTCTAAAGAAGGAGCCTCCACCACACTCCGGGGCAGTGAGTTCCACTGCTGAATGGCTCTCACAGTCAGGAAGTTCTTCCTCGTGTTCAGATGGAATCTCCTCTCTTGTAGTTTGAAGCCATTGTTCCAGCGTCCTAGTCTCCAAGGAAGCAGAAAACAAGCTTGCTCCCTCCTCCCTGTGGCTTCCTCTCACATATTTATGCATGGCTATCATATCTCCTCTCAGCCTTCTCTTCTTTCATGTCTTCATATGGGGAGCTGGAGCTGACAGACAGGAGCTCAACCTGCTCTCCCTGGATTCGAACCACTGACCAACTGGTCAGCAATCCTGCAGGCCCAAGGGTTTAACCCAATGCGTCACCGGAGGCTCCTATTGTTACGAACAGGCATAACTAAGACCTTGCACACTTAGGGCAGCCATGGTTTCACTGTATCTATTTACCTGCACACTTCCTCTTTTCCTACTATGTTACCAAATACATATTATTGTATTTCCAAATGAGTCACAATGTCTCATGATGCGTTGAAATTACAATAACCTCACTTTAGTAATTTTGGCTTCCAGTGAGAGTTCAGGCTTGATTGGATCTTACGTGTTTTTGATAGACTGTGGTCTCCAAAGAACTTCCCTCCAAGATATTTCAAATGGCTGAATCCTTCTATATACCAATATCCTTCTGCATATTAGTTGGGAGGGAAAATTAAAGGAAAAATGTAGTTGCATTCTTGTCCTGCTGGCAGGCTTTTGGTGGCTAATTTTCTGTCCACAAAGCAAACTGGATTAGGAAAGCCTCTGATTTGATTGAGCATGTTTCTTATGTTCTTGATGCCATTGTGAACACCTGCTGATAGTGCTCTATACACTGTAACAGCAAAGCTTCCTAAGGCTCAGAGTAGAATACCCCCAAATCCATATAAGCCGGAGGCACAAGATGCCTTTTATCTGCTGCCCGGCTCCTAACAGCATTTTGCTATGATAGAGCCCCAGATTGAAGCCTTGCCAGGTGAACTCTTGATATTGCTTCTGGATGCTCCAAGGCACTACTCTCTCTCCTATCCTAGCAGTTCAGTTTCATCAGGCCAACAGTCTTCGAAAGGCTGCAATCTGCGGCAAGTCAGCAAACAAGGCAGAGGGCTAGTCTGGAAAGTCCCGCAAGGGTATCGGAAGGTTGACTGTCATGGACACGGGTGCTCCACAATGCAGCAGGTGCAGCAACAAAGCATAATTCCCTTAATCGGAGTCACCTGGGCCAGCTTCCCTCTCATTCACACTTATTGTAAATCAGAAGTGACTCCGCCAACATCAACGGAAATTACTTCAGTGTATTAAGACAGAGGAGGGACCATTAATCCTCTGCATTTTCTCCGACAGCTTTTCAACCCCCTGCTCCCTTTGGTGTTCAGAGGAAAGTCTATCTACCACGAGCGCATGCGACTACTACACACGCTGCCACCGACTCGTTAATATCACAGGACAGCCGCCTCCGTGGTAATTAGACGCTCCAGAGCCACTCTGGCCCCTTGAGCAATTTCTCTTGTCTTGCCAGACAAGGCGGGTGGGGAGGGAGACGGAGAAGGCTCACCCGTTAACCTGGCTGTGATTAATGGGGGATGTTACCCTACTAAGTGTCACTGCTGGGAGGGGGAGAAGCTCTCTATAAAGGGAAAGGGCCACAATGTCAGACCTACTGTCACTGGCTGTCCAAATCTCTCCCAGGCCTGGACAAGAAATGCCTCTTTGTGTTATCTAATTCCTATACTGGGCAAGCACAGGGGTAAGGGGCTGAGGTTCAGCATTAGACTCATTGTAGTTGGAGCAGATAACTGGAACAACACGGAAAGGTCCCATATCTGGGTACAATTCAAAGTGCTGGTTATCAGTTATCATGGAATCACTGAGTTGGAAGAGACCTCATGGGCCTTCAGTCCAACCCCCTACCAAGAAGCAGGAAAATCGCATGATTATAAAGATCTATGTGGCTTAGTCACCTACGGATGTGAGAGCTGGACCATAGGGAAGGATGAGTGAAGGAAGATAGATGCTTTTGAACTGTGGTGTTGGAGGAAAGTTCTGAGAGTGCCTTGGACAGCGAGAAGATCCAACCAGTCCATACTTCAGGAAATAAAGCCTGACTGCTCATTGGAGGGAAGAATAGTAGAGGCCAAGTTGAAATACTTTGGCCACATCATGAGAAGAAAGGAAAGTTTAGAGAAGACAATGATGCTGGGGAAAATGGAAGGAAAAATGAAGAGGGGTTGACCAAGGTCAGACAGATGGATGGCATCCTTGAAGTGACTGGATTGACCTTGAAGGAGCTGGGGGTGGTGATGGCCAACAGGGAGCTCTAGCATGGGCTGGTCCATGAGGTCACAAAAAGTCAGAAACGACTGAACGAATGAACAACAACATGTGGCTTGGGTCCAAGCTATTTGTATAAAGCTCTATGATCTTCAGAAGAGGTCTATCTCTATGTCCTACCAACTTTCTAGTGACATTAGGAAGCAACGAGAGTGACAGCCTTCTTGGTGGATGCTGCCAAGGAAGGGGATTCCACCACATTCCAAGGCAGACTATTCCACTGTTGAAGAGCTTGAAGTTCCTCCTAAAGTTTAGGTGGAATCTCTTTTTCCTATTGTTTGAATCAGTTGCTCCAGGTCCTAGTTTCTGGAGAAACAGAAAACAAGCTGGTTCATCCATATGACATCTTTTCAGATATTTAAACATGGCTCTCATATTCCCTCTTGACTTTCTCCGCTCCAGGATAAACATACCCAACACCCTACATTGTTCCTCATAATGCTTCATAGTTTCCACATTTTGGGCTATTTTGATCACCCTCCGATTGACATGTTCCAGCTTCTCAATGCCCGTCTTTAGTTTTAATGCCCACAACTGGACACGGTATTCCAGGTGACAAAAAGCAAAATAGTCTGGGGCTAGCACTTCACTCAATCTAGACCAGTGGTTCTCAACCTGTGGGTCCCCAGGTGTTTTGGCCTACAACTCCCAGAAACCCCAGCCAGTTTACCAGCTGTTAGGATTTCTGGGAGTTGAAGGCCAAAACATCTGGGGACCCACAGGTTGAGAATCACTGATCTAGACACTTCTTTCAAACTAGGTCTAAATTACTGCCAATAAAGTGAGAATGCTCTTCTATTCCCAGATTCGGTCCAAAATTAAGAGATCATGGGGCCAATCGTTTTGTGTACACCTCAGCCTCACTAAGGGTGCTTCCAGACACAGGCAGCTAGAACTACTAACGAAAAGGCTTAACTAATGTATAGGGAACAGAGTGAGTGTGCATCCCAGGGCTTCTGGTTCAATTCTTCTTCTTTTGTCTTTTCACAAAGTGTAGTTGAACCAGGTCTACAAAGTACA